CTCAAGTGATCCACCCGCCTAGGTTTCTCAAAGTGCTGGGATTACACCACACCCGGTCTGTGCATGCACTTTATATATACTCTTTTGTATGTGATATTCCATAAGAGATAGGGCCACTGCACTCCAGCCTAGGTGACAGAGCGAGACTCCGTGAAAAGAAAAGAAGAAAGAACAGAACAGAACAGAAGTGAGTCTACCTAGAGCCAAAAGGGATGAAAGAGAAAAGACACGTGCCTAGACACATCCTAGTGAAATTTCAGAACTCCAAAGACAAAAAGCAAACCCTAAAAGCTTCCAAAGTATTAAAATAGGCTATATTCAAATGACAATCAAATGAGAGACAAAGACATTTTTGAAAGGCAAGAACTTAAAGCTCAACACGCATGCATCCCATATTAAAAATAGTAACTATTCCAAGTTTTTAAAAAATATAAGAAAAATGACAACTTAAAGTATAAGAAACAACAGCAGTTGAGTAAGACCTAAAAGGAGCACAGAAAGTTGAAAAGAAATTAAAAGAGGATTCACTAGATCTTGATGTTTGGGCCACTCTATTTGAAGCAGTTTGGTGATAAAATACTATGTTTGCTTTTCCCAGTATTCAACAGCACCTCTAGATTCCAAAGTAAATAATACTGCAAAAACTGTATTTGTGGAATATATTTAGGCTTAATTTGTACATACAGAATGAAGACTAATTTTTGTTATATAAAAGAGAATATAAACATTATTTACTTTGATAACAGAAAAACAGTAATATTACTACAAAAAAAAACCAAAAAACTCCAGAAAAAAAGAGTAAAGAAATGGGTTAATTTCTCATGGTACACAGAAGGGAATCAAGAGACACTGTTGACTGCCAACGTGTTACTGAAAATTACACTATTAACTACCAGAACTACAAAACTGACTTTAAAAAGTGGTTACATTTTGGGAAGTGGGACTGGGCATGGAGGTGGGGTGGAGCTATTTTCCATTTCATACTTCTGTGTCCACTCCAAATTCATGCTGACTGTTGGCAGTGCTTTTAATGTTTCATTAATTCCTCTCACACTCCCCGATGGCTGATGCTCCTGTTCTCTTCATATTTCTCAAACCCTTATGCTTCCACCTTTCTGAATCTTTTCCCTTTATCCCCACACCAACCTCCCTCTGAGGTGGAATTTTTCACTCATCCTCTTCTTCCTATTAGAGAAGGAGAGAACAACAGCCCTGGCCTCCTGTTCTCAAGCAGCTCACCTCTTCCACACATTCAGAGATCTAACCTATGCCCAGCTCTCCCACACCAACACAAGCTTTTCTTTCCTCTATCTCTTTCCCTTAGCCCTATGAAGACTCTTCGGTATCTATTAAGAAGTAATAGTAAAGCTAAATAAATAAGTACTATTGTGAATCCACCTTGTTCTTTCATTCCTTTTTCCCAACTTCAAAATAGGAAGGCTACACTCATCATTTCTGTGTTCTCATCCCCGTTTTCAATCTAGCCTCTGACTCAGCCACAGGACTGAAACTGACAAATCCAATCCTTTGTATTCTCTCACTGAATTCTCCTAAGCTCTCTACAGGTTTAGCATTACTATTTGTCCCCACAGAAGCACCACACTACCCATCCCAGTCCACCTCCGACTTCTGTGAGTGATCACCCCTGTCATTTTGGATGACTCTTCTTTCTCCTCTAGCTTCCTAAACAGAGGCATTCCTCATTAGCTTCATTTTTTACTTTCCTTTTCAAAGATCTGACTCACCTGATGAATCACATGAAGATGATGCCCAAATCCTTCAACAGCTCCAGGATATAATTCACCACTTCTAACTGCCTATTGAACAGCCACTCAAATGTCCTGCCAATGCCATTTGTTGACTGGGATGGTCCTCCCATGTTGCCATAGACTCCAACATGTCCAAAATTAAATTATTCACCCCAAACCAGCATCTCAGGTATTTGTATATATAACACACTATCACTTGCCTGGTCACTCAAACACAAAATCTGGGCCATCTTTCACTCAATCCCTACCTATTCCCTCACATCCTACCGATTTCGTTCCCTCAATGTTTTACAACAGGGAAGGTAAAAATGAATAAGACATGGTTTCTAGCCTCTAGGAGGAATAAAGAGAAGTGTAAGCAAACAATTATAAAGCAATCTGGCAGGTGCAGTGGCTCTAGCCTATAATCCCAGCAATTTGGGAGGCCAAGGCAGGTGGATCGCTTGAGCTCAGGAATTCAAGACCAGCCTGGGAAACAAAGTGAGACCCTGTCTCTACAAAAAAAATAGAAAAAAAATTATAGAATAACAAATAAGCAATCTGGTAAGTGCTGCAAAAGAAAAAAAAAAAAGAAAAAAGAAAGAAAAAAAAAGCACAGGATAATGAAGTGGGGGTAGGGGAGAAAGGAGATTAGGAGGATTCAACAGGTTGCAAGGTGTCACAGTCAGAACTAAAGTCCTGTCCCTTAACCCTCACTAGGCCAAAACAACAGCACACACACTGAATAATTAAGCATATGTCTTCCATTAAGACAGTTCAACATTTAAAAAAATGCAATTATTGTGGCTCACACCTGTAATCCCAACACTTTGGGGGGCCGAAGTGGGCAGATCACTTGAGGACAGGAGTTCGAGACCAGCCTGGTCAACTTGGGGAAACCCCGTCTCTACCCAAAAACTACAAAAATTAGCTGGGCATGGTGGCATGCACCTGTAGTACCAGCTACTCGAGAGGCTGAGGTGGGAGAATCGCTTGAACCCAGGAGGCAGAGGTTGCAGTGAGCCAAGATCATGCCACTGCACTCCAGCCTGGGTGACAGAGTGAGACTCTCAAAAAAAAAAAAAAAAAAAAAATTATTATTTGTCAATAAAATTTAAAAAAAAATTCAAATGTAACTTTTGACTGAGTATAAATTAGGGAATGATGGTTCTCATTATATATGAACTGATTTTTTTCTTCTTTCTTAAAGAGACAGAATCTCACTCTGTCGCCCAGGCTGTGGCACGATCATAACTCATTGCTATGACCACTGCAACCTTCCCTTACGGCTCAAGCAATCCTCCTGAGTAGCTGGGACTACAGGCTTGCGCCACCATGCCGCCTGGTGTGTGTATGTATGTATGTATGTATGTATGTATATATGTATGTATTTAGTAGAAACAAGGTCTCACTTTGTTGCCTGGGATGGTCTCAAATTCCTGGGCTCAGCCAGGCGTGGTGTCTCACATCTGTAATCCCAGCACTCTGGGAGACCGAGGCAGGAGGATCACTTGAGGTCAGGAGTTCAAGACCAGCCTGGCAAATATGGTGAAACCCCATCTCTACTAAAACAAAATACAAAAATCAGCCGGGCATGGTGGTGGGCACCTGTAATGCCAGCTACTGGCAGGCTGAGGGAGGAGAATTGCTTGAACCTGGGAGGCAGAGGTTACAGTGAGCCTAGATTGTGCCACTGCACGCCACCCTGGGTGACAGCAAGACTCTGTCTCAAAAAAAAAAAAAAAAAAAAAAATTTCCTGATTCCTGGACTCAAGCAATCATCCTGCCTTGGCCTCCCAAAGTGCTAGGATTACAGCTATAAGCTACCAGGCCTGACCTAGATTTTCTTTAAAAAATAACTGCCCAGTTAATTTATTTTTTCTTCTTTTTGAGACAGGCTTACACTCTGTCTGACAGGCTGGAATGCAGTGGCATAATCACTGCTCACTGCAGCCTTGACCTCCTGGGCTCAGGTGAGTCTCCCACCTCAGCATCCCGGGTAGCTGGGACTACAGTCATGCACCATCACACCCAGCTAATTTTTTAATATTTTTTTGTAGAGACGGGGCTTCACCATCTTGCCCAAGCTGATCTCAAACTCCTGGGCTCAACTGAGCCACCCAACTCGGCCTCCCGAAGTCCTAAGATTATAGGAGTGAGCTATCACGCCAGGCCCTGTTCCAGTGAATTTAAAATAGGATCTCCTTTTCATATATTTTCATAAACAGATCCAATCATAGGTCATCTCAGGAACTAAGAGCTAGGAAGAACTAGATTCTCTCATCTAGCCACTTCATCTCCCAAAGGATAGGAGAGGTTAAATGACTTGCCCAAGGTCACAAAGCTTGTAAACAGAAGTAGAATCCAAACCCACAATCTTTTCCATGTTACCGCACTGTCTCTGACATGCCCCTAATATCAGAATGCTGTCCAGTTGATTCCTCTAAAAACCAACTGAAATGAGAATGTGTAAAAAGAGTCCAGACATTGGGTTTCAAAAGTCTTGAAAGTGTTTGTTTAGACACACACACATAATATAAATTCCCAGAAAATAAGGATCTGGCTATAACTTGGTTCTCCTCAGCTTGTTGATGCCAACTTGACCAGATGAATCTCTTTTCCCTGAGTTCTCCCCAAAATGCTGATAAAGTCATATTTTATTCCCCAGAATACATGCCTAACTGGAGTTCTAACTAGTTGACTAATGGCTAAAAAATTTAGAATCACGGGGAATGAGTTAGAGCAAGGAGATGGCTCAGAAAAAAATGAATTCTAAGTATTGATTAATTCTAATTATGATAATACCAAGTTCCAACTACCATCTCTCAATCTCTGATTTCATCTTCTGTCAGAGGGGGGAAAAAAGTTACTCCCATCTTCAAAAAGTAACAGGTACTTTTTATAATATAAAGTTAGGCCCAGCTCAGTGGCTCACTCCTATAATCCCAGCACTTTGGGTGGCTGGAGGGCAGGCAGATCACTTGAGCCCGGGAGTTCAAGACCAGCCTATGCAAGGTAGTGAGAATCTGTGTCTAAAAAATTTTTAAATTAGCCAGCATGGTGGCCACTTGGGAGGCTGAGGTGGGAGGACTGCTTGAGCCCAACAGGTAGAGGTTGCAGTGAGCTGTGATCACACCACTGCACTCCAGCCTGGGCAAAAGAGCAAGATTCTGTCTCAAAAAAAAAAAAAAAAGGAAAAAAGTTGTCTTCCTTGGTAGGGCAGTTAAAAAACGGTTAGAATCTGCAACTTCCTATAAGTGAAATCCCTTCTTACCCTTGGAATCTGCTCCCTTTCTGAAGGATCCTCTGCTCACTTTACAGAGAACACATGCAAACACACACAAAACGCAAAGCAACAGCCAGAACTCTAGTTCGATGCTACCCTCACCCTGCACAACTCGTCAGGGGTTGACCTGCAATAATGGCTGATAAGGCTGACAGCAAAAAAAAAAAAAACAATCATCTTGGTTGGGTTATTTAATTTCAACTGAAAACTAGAAGACTACAAGATCCATCCTTACCACTCTCCTTTCCCTTTCAGAATGGTCATGAGAAATATGTAGTCTTGAATTTGATGAGACTGAAAATAAAGAATTCCAAAGCATGAGAACTTATTACTAAACAACTGCTAATTAAAACAAAATGGACACTTTAATATTCTTTAAATTAATTCTATGTAAAACCTGATGAGGTAAACAAATACGGTCATGTCTTGCTCTTTATGACTCACTGTGACTCTGTCACATCCTCTTTCTCACTACTACCTTTGCTGTTATAAGCACACAAACGATTTTAGATAACAACTTGAAAAAGTTGGGAAAGCAGTTTCCTGTCAAATGAATCAGAAATAGATCACTGAAAAACCAGCCCAGTGAGGGCCAGAGGAGTCGCTGACAAAGAGTTACTCTACTTCACTCAAGGCTCGAGTTTCTCTTCGTTTTTTCTCACACAGGAAAGAGTAAGACTTACGCACTGCCCTTTCTTCTCCCACTTGCCTGAGAGCCCAAGGACAGCGTCCTGCTCCTTCTGGAGGAAAGGGGGTTCACACAGGTACCCACACTCCCTTCTCTCAGGTCAAACCACACCCTACATTCCCAGCTGAGACTAGCGACCTCTCGTCTCACCTACTCTTACTCATCTTCTCTGGCACATCCTCACCTCACCTACCTTTCACGTCACTGACCACAGTGACTTTCCACAGAAGCACAGCTGCTTAAATGCTGTTGGGTTTTTTTGTATGTCTTCACAGAGCATTTTGCAAGGTACATACATGACACTCCTATTTTTTTTTATTTTTTATTTTTTGAGACGGAGTCTGGCTCTGCCGCCCAGGCTGGAGTGCAGTCGTGCAATCTAGCTCACTGCAGCCTTCACCTCCCAGGTTCAAGTGATTCTCCCACCTCAGACTCCCAAGTAGCTGGGATTACAAGCGCACAACACCACACCCAGCTAATTTTTGTATTTTTAGTAGAGACAGGGTTTCACTATGCTGGCCAGACTGGTCTGGAACTCCTGACCTTAAATTATCTGCCCGCCTCAGCCTCCCAAAGTGCTGGGATTACAGGCGAGAGCCACCGTACCTGGCCAACACTCTTATTTTAACTGACAGAATACTCATAAGGCCATTAGACAAGAACTCCCTCAACTTCCTTATCCACCTACCTATGAGTATCTGCCTCTGCTCCCATCCTTTCCTTCTTTCCTTCTGTTTCAGCAGAAAAGGAGTCATTCCTGGTATCCTGAATAATCACTCCAGCAGCACTTAGGATTTCAAACTTTGCTGACTCAGGGAGACCTCATTCCATCACATCTCTCTACTCTAGACTTTCAATTCCTCCTCCCCAAGACCCCTTACCTCCCCACCCAACAAATGAACACACTCAAGTCTCTACCTTCTTAACATAATTCATTCGTTTGGCCATCAAATATATGTTGAGTGCCTACTACAGGCCAGGAGCAATTTTTGACTCTGGAGATAAAGCAGTGAATAAAACTAAGTTCCTGCCCTCAGGCAACTTATTTTCTAGTGAGGAGACAAACAAAGAACAGACAAATGTATAAACATCCTAGCTGCTTCCTTTCTCTCCACCTCAAATGGCCAGGCTTGAAACAGCAGGGTACCCTGCCTGCCTCTACTTCCGCTTCCTCTCTGCTTTGTATTCCTTACCCACTTTCAACAGGCTACAGTGCCCCTTCCTTGCCCCAACCCTGTCCCTAAACCCTGCTAAAACAGCTTAGGCAAAGGTCACCACCAATGACCTCTGCTTGTAATCTCAATTACATTTTCTCAGTCCTAGTCTCAAACTCTATACAACAACAGACACTTAATACTCCCTGTTGTTTTGCTCTTCTCCCTCTTTGGTCACTCATACCTCTCTGACCTCTTTTTCAGGTTCTTTTTTTCAGCTTCCCCCTTAAATGGTGGTGCTTTCCAGTTCTGTGTTTAGCCTCTGTTCACTCAACATGCTCTCCTTGGCTGGTCACAGTGGCTCACGCCTATAATCCCAGCACTTTGGGAGGCCAAGGCAGGCAGATCACCAGGTCAGGAGATCGAGACCATCCTGGCTAACACGGTGAAACCCCGTCTCTACTAAAAATACAAAAAAAAAGAAATTACCTGGGCCTGGTGGCGGACACCTGTAGTCCCAGCTACTGAGGAGGCTGAGGCAGGAGAATGGCGTGAACCCAGAAGGCAGAGCTTTCAGTGAGCTGAGATTGCGTCACCACACTCCAGCCTGGGCGACAGAGCGAGACTCCATCTCAAAAAATATATATATATATCTACATATATATACACACACACACACATATATACACATATATCTATGTATGTATGTATGTATATGCTCTCCTTGGACAACCTCAATCATGCCCACCACTTCCACTATCAGCGATACATGCTGAGGAATACTGAATGTATATCTTCAGGATAGGCCTTTTAACAGAACTCCAAATCCACACACCCAACTGCTGCTACAGATCTCAATTTGCATGTCCCCAAAACCTCTCAAATTCAATAAAACTGAATTTTTTCTCCCCCTACACCTTCGACTGTTCTTCTGCCTCTATTCCCCATTTTAGGAAATGATGCCATCTTTCTCTCAAGATGCCTAAGGAAGAAACTTACGAGTCCGCCTTTCTCCCATCACACCTACTCATCTATGTGCACACCTCCTCCTCCTCTATACTAGTCTCGTAAATTCTCCCTCCTTAAATACTTCTTTTCATTCCCTCTTCCCTAATCCTACTGCAGAGACAGCTCATTTCAGTAGCCTCCTGTAAGTCTTCCTGCCCTGTCTTGCCCTGCTCTTATCTATTTAAGGCTATTTTGCATTTTATCTGTGTAAATGGTATCCCTTGGTTGTGTGACACAGGAACCTGAAACGATTCTCCCCTAAGGTGATCTCCACCAAACACAGATGTCATCCACTCCTGCTTACAATTCTTCAGTGGCTTCCCATGAACGCTCTTCCCAAGGATGCTATATGGATGCTCTTTCCCCTGAAGAAAGTGACGGAGGCAGGGCGCGGTGGCTCACGGCTGTAATCCCAGCACTTTGGGAGGCAGAGGCAGGCAGATCATGAGGTCAGGAGATCGAGACCATCCTGGCTAACACAGTGAAACCCCGTCCCTACTAAAAATACAAAAACAAAATTAGCCGGGCGTGGTGGCGGGTGCCTGTAGTCCCAGCTACTCAGGAGGCTGAAGCAGGAGAATGGCATGAACCCGGGAGGCGGAGCTTGCAGTGAGCCGAGATTGCATCACAGCACTCCAGCCTGGGCGACAGAGCGAGACTCTGTCTCAAAAAAAAAGAAAGTGATGGAGCAATGGAGGGCCCAGAAGAGGCACAGCCTGAAGAAGCCAGCCACTAGAGAACAATGCATTACTTTTTAATGTTAAAATTTAAGATTATGTTTGATCTTAATGTTCAATTAATGCTTTACTATAGCAATAATTTCCCGTGAAATGCAATTCAATGGATATTCCAAGAAAATATGCTATGTTTACCCCCTGTAGTTTTTTTGTTTTTGTTTTTGTTTTTTAGACAGAGGCTCACTCTGTCACCCAGGCTGGAGTGCAATGGCATGATCTCGGCTCACTGCAATCTCTGCCTCCCGGGTTCAAGTGAGTCTCCTACCTCGGCCACCTGAGTAGCCGGGATTACAAGCACAAGCCACCACGCCCAGCTAATTTCTGTGTTGTAGCTTTGAGTACCCCTGGCACATCAATACAAATCCTCACTGGGAAGCAAAGACCAACAGGATAAAATTTAAGATTCTATGGGTGTGGTCACAGGGCCACAAACTCCTTTGGTCCATTGGACAGTCCTTCCCAGAATACTAAATGTACACTAATGCCCTGCACCTAAGCACCTTCAAGTACTTGAACATGTCTCCTTTATGACATTTATTATGCAACAAAGATATTGTTTACAGTTTTTTGTTTTGTTTTGTTTTGTTTTGAGACAGGGTCTCACTCTGTCGCCCAGGCAAGAGTTCCAATGGTGCCATCACAGCTCCTGGAAGCCTCGATCTCCCTGGGTTCAGGTATCTTCCCACCTCAGCCTCCTGAGTAACTGGGACTATTTTGGGACTACAGGCGCATGCTACCACACCTGACTAGTTGTTTACAGTATCCTAACTTCCCCTAAAATAACTATAAGAAAGTACTGCCATATCCTGCCCCTCCTAATCACAGTCAAACCCACTAAAAGTTGTTTTGTTTTTGAAACTTACCCATTTCCTCCCAATCACTTCTTAACCCATTATAATCTCTGGCTTCTGATCCTCACACCACAGGATTAAAACCACACTCACCAAGTTCATAATCATAAATCATTTTGTGGCTAAATCTAACAAATCTATCTTAATGCTTAACCATTCTTTTGTTTGCAGCAATATTCGATCATTCTCTCTCTTGTCTTCTTGGCCCCCAACTCTCTTGACTTCCCTTCTCTAGATTTCTTGCTAAACCTCTAGCCATGTCTTTGCAGTCACCTCTGCAAGCTTTCTTTTCCTCTGTCCATGTTAGCATTTCTTAGGATTCTATCTGAAATACTCTTCTCTGTTCACTCTAAGCCCTCTTTTCCTGGGTGAACTCATCTATTCTCATGGCTTTAACTATCATCCTGCTTTAGATAAAGCTGGAAAAAAAATTTGGGTCCATATGCCCAGTTTAGACACTCTGTTCACCAATCACAACTTCTGCATGGATGGACGTTTGGAAACATAAAATAACACAGCAGCATAATAGATTTATACTGCTTCCTGTGTGCCAGACGCTATACTAATCACTATACTTTTCCTTTTTTTTTTTTTTGAAAGCAGGTCTCATTATGTTGCCCAGGCTGGTCTCGAACTCCTGGCCTTAAGAAATCCTGCCGCCTCAGCCTCCTAAAGTATACTTTTGTATAGTAACTGATTCAGTGCTCACATCAATCCTACAATGTAGATACTATTATCATCCTCATTCTATGGATGAGGACACTGAGACACTAAATCTGACTACCAAAAAAAAAAAAAAAAAAAGAAGAGCCAGGCACAGTGGCTCACACCTATAATCCCAACACTTTGGAAGGCTGAGGTGGGCAGACTGCTTGAGTCCAAGAGTTTGAGACCAGCCTGGACAACATGGCAAAACTCCATCACTACAAAAAATTTAAATCTAGCTGGGCATGGTGGTGCATGCTTTTAGTCTCAGCTACCCGGGAGGCTGAGGTAGATGGATCACCTGAGCCCAGGAGGTCAAGGCTGCAGTGAGCCGTGATTCCACTACTGTACTCCAGCCTGGGCAACAGACCAAGACTCTGTCTCCAAAAAAAAAAAAAAAAAAAAAAAACACAAAAGGAATTTCCATCTCTAATGAAAAGCACTTTTTTCCACAACTGCAATTGTAAGAAAAAGAAAATAAATCAAATTCAGGATTCTGAGCAAATATGCTTCTGACAATGGTGATTTTCCTTTAATTAACATTTTAATCATGTTTTCACATTTAATAATCATTTTAATCATGTTTCTTCCAATCTGTACTGAAACAGGATAATCTTTTTTTTAAGATGTGGTCTTGCTCTGTCACCCAGCCTGGAGTGTAGTGGCACGATCATAGCTCACCGCAGCCTCAACTCCAAAGTAGATGAGACTACAGGTGCACACCACCATACCCAGCTAGAGACAGGGTCTCACTATCTTGAACTCCTGGCCTCAAGCAATCCTCCTGACTCGGCCTCCCAAAGTGCTGTCGGCCAAGGATAATCTTAGTTATTAAGATGTTTTACAAGTTTTATCTCTCAGCCATAAAGATAAACCTGAAGTTCACGATATAAGTAAATAAGATTTTAGTTATTTTCCCATGTGCAAAATTACAATTAATTTAGTGTTTGAACTGCACCTTAGATATAGGTAGTCAAAGAGACCTGAGAGAAAGTGGGTAGGACCTAAGAGACAAATATTCTGTGTGTACAGTTGGACATGTTATGCACAGCCCATGAATGTCCTTGGTAGTTGGCCACACTGTTTGCATAAACTAGAATAAATTGACCAAAGGTCTGACTTGGTTCAACAAAACCAATATTTGCCATATGGCTAATTATTTCACTTCCGTGGTTTTCCAACATTTTGCCAAAGACAGAATGTAGCCAAGAAAAGACGTTGAAAAACCAGGCATGTGAAATATTCAGTTTTTTTCCAACCAGGACCAGTTAAACCAAAACAAAACTGATTTTGGTTTCTTACAATGTCTGATCTACAGAAAAACCCACCTAATCAACTTATGCTTTAGATCAGGTCCTGTGAATATTACATTTGGTTAAGACAGAGAAAAAAAGGCCAGGCATGGCAGCTCACACCTGTAATCCCAGCACTTTGGGGAGCCAAGGCAGTTGGATCACCTGAGGCCAGGAGTTCGGAACCAACCTGGTCAACATGGTGAAATCCTGTCTCTACTAAAAATACAAGAAGTAGCCAAGCGTGGTGGTGAGCACCTATAATCCCATCTACTCGTGAGGCTGAGGCAGGAGAATCGCTTGAACCCAGGAGGCGGAGGTTACAGTGAGCCAAGATCGTGCCATTGCACTCCAGCCTGGGCAAGAGTGAAACTCCGTCTCAAAAAAAAAAAAAGAGGAAAAAGGGAAAGCGAATTAATGCATGCGCAAAGTACACAAAAAAATGAGAAGTGTCTGCCTCCTGTTCAGGGAGCAAAGGCACTCGGTGGCGTGGCTCCAGCTCTCACCCAAGCACTGTCCCAGGCTTGGAGCTGTGTATTCTGAAAGTATTTGCATAATAAATACCAAATGAATGGGATAAGCAAAGTAATGTGGCAGACTGAAGAAATGGAAAGTTGTCACATATCGCCCAACTGTAAAAGTCAAGTGCAAAAATCAGAGGGCATATAGTGAGGAAAATAAGCGAAAAACAAACAAGCAAACATTAAAAACTAACCAAATGCCAGGAAACACATAGGCCCCTGAGCTGCAGCTCTCACCAGCTTCCACACGGGTCCCCTGTCCTTCCTGGCAGAGACCCTGGGGACAGAGCCTACATTTCTTTAAAGTGTAGACTTTAAAGTGTACACTTCTTTAAAGCTGCCACCATCTAAAGAATTCCACTGGAATCTCCTCCCTGCAAAGTCCATTTGTTCACTGAACAAGTGTCTATTGAGTCTTCTAGGCACTAGAGACACAGGAGGGAACAAGACAGTGAAGTCTCTGCACTCAGAAAACAAACATTTTACTGGGGAAGAATGCAATCATATTAATAAATATATGAACAAGATCATTTCAAATGTTGGTATTAATTAGAAAATTTTAAACAGGAAAAAAAGAAGGTAAAAGAGAGTGGTGAGATGAAGAACGATAGGAGGGGCTGCTAATTTAACCTTGGAGGTTCTCTATGGAGGTTAACTTTGAACTGAGACAAAGTTGGAGCAGAACATTCCAGGTGGAAGAAAAGCAAGGAGTAAGACATAGGAATGGTAGGAATAGGCCAGGAATGGTCAGGAATGGTGAACCACATAGGCCAGGAATGGTGAACCACAAAGTGCCTGTAACCCCAGCACTTTGGGAGGCCAAGGTGGGAGGATGGCTTGAGCCCAGGAGTTCAAGACAAGTCTGGGCAACAGAGTGAGATCCTGTAGCTACAAAATATAAAAAAATTAGCAAGGTGTGACAGTGCAAACCTACAGTCTCAGCTACTAGAGAGGCTGAGGTGGGAGGATCTCTTGAGCCTGAGAGGTCAAGGCTGCAGTGAGCTCCGTGTACACCACTGCACTCCAGCCTGGGTGAGAGAGTGAAACCCTGTCTCAAAAAAAATAAAAAATAAAAAAAAAAGGAACCTAGAGGCAGCAACATGTATGGTGAGTTCAAGGAAGAAAAAAAATGCCTATTTTGTTCAAAGTACCATCTCATGATGACCTCCCTCTTTTAAATTGTGCCCACTAACACTCTACCAGTATTCTCTGTCCCTCTTATTTTTGAGATGGAGTCTCGCTCTGTCGCACAGGAGGGAGTGCAGTGGCCCAATCTCGGCTCACTGCAAGCTCCGCCTCCCAAGTTCACGCCATTCTCCTGCCTCAGCCTCCCGAGTAGCTGGGATTACAGGTGCTTGCCACTATGCCTGCCTTTTTTGTACTAAAA